AAGACCAGCCACTCTGAGAATCTCGGTTCCACTGGACCTATCTCAAAGATTGGGTTTACATGGAGAGGGGTCGGTCCCATTGGCGTAAGGTACTCCTGCATCCCGTTCCTTATGATTTCACACCTATTAACAAGTTACAAAATTGTTTAATATGTTGCCAAAATCAAAAAACATCTTAGAGTTTAAGTAAGTAGAGAATTTATTTTATATACTTGAGTTCTAGAAATCCACTCATCTCGATGGCCCCGCAGAACGAGATCTCACCATCGCCTTGCGAGAAATGCATATCACCAGTGCTTAGATTAGCACCTTCTACAAACACTGGGAGATATATTTTAGAGCCTCTGCTTAAGTTTTTTATGTCACAGTTTCCTCCGTTTTCTCTTCCTGGTATTGTCCTTGCAGCCTCGTTCGCAATCCTTTCCCATTCCGGTGTTCCTTTTCCAATCTACAAGAGTCAGAGGTAAGCACCATTCTAATACTCATCGGAAGATTTCCGTGCCATCGTAAGTATAAAGCTAGCTCGCTTACGTTCCCGAGTAGACATCCTTTAGTTGTTGGTAGGTTTGCTAGTGGCCTCTGATGCACAACCTCACATAGTGTTAGGGACTCGTGACCACTCTCGTCTAATTGTCTTTCCCTTTCATTCCATATTCTCAAGAGCTCCATCGATGGCGCGGTACCAATGACTCCTGGGTGTGTCAAACCCGGAAACCGTACTCCTAACACATGATGATATCAGCATGTGAGCTACATAAAAAAGCAAAGAATCAATAGAGATGGAATCTGTTTGTGTTCTCACCAGGAATATGAGGAGAGTAAGCATAGATCCCTTCAAAGTACCAAATAGCTTTAGTCGCACAAGGGAAATGATCGGTCAAGAAACCGCCACCGTTCTCTCTGTCAAACGAAGCAGTGTAACCCCATTCATCTCCTGGTAAAGGACCTAAGTTACATATCTCAACAACAAGAAGATCACCAGGCTTAGCTGCAACACCATCTTCATCCACAACTCTAATCGGTCCACTCAGGTGATGACTCTACAAAATCACCAAAAAACTTGTTATCTCTTTTCTTTCTTTCTTTAAAGTAAAATTCATTGAATTGACACATTTGATTCTCTTACAGTTGAAAGTTCTGCGTACTTAATATCGCCTGCAGAATCATCGTCTTTAACGATACCTCCCATTGCATCAATCATTTCGACTCTGAAAAACTCACCGGACTTAACTTGTGCAACTGATGATATCTCAGGATGCCATCTATTATGAAGTGGCTGAGTCTGTTGCCATGGCTTCTTCTTCAAATCAACCTTCACCACTGCTCTTGGACTCGACGGAGCCATCAAATCAAACCCTTAAACCCAATAACTACAGTGTGATCTCTCTGTTCACTTTTTAACTCACCTTGTTCTCTTTTTTTTTTGTCCTTAAGAGTGTTCATTGGTTTTTGCAGATTCCTTATCTATCCATCCACAAACTAGAAAGACAGTAAAAAGATTGCATTTTTCACCATCTCTTTTTCTAAAGTTGTGACTTTGTCTTTATCTCAACCAAGTGGAGAGTAACGTAAGAAAAAAGATTACATGTGTGGCTCTGTTTGTGTCGTAAATATGGAAGGACATAAAGTTGAAAATGACATTTTTTGTTGAGTTATGTAATTCTTGCTTCTTCCATGGCTTCTCCATCTTTGTTCAGATAAAACACTCTTAATTTGAGTTATTATTCTATAAACATCCGACAGATTTTTTCCAAAAGACTAAAAAAAATCTAATCGAATCTTTAATTTTGTTTTTTTTTTTGTTTCGTGGTTGTGGCTTACCCGCTTGGTGTCATCAAGTTGAATGGTCGCTTAAAGTCTTGTATGGTCACACTATCAAATTTTGTATAAATTATTTAAATATATGTAACATAGTTATGATAGTTGACTCAATTTATAACGTCCAAAGGACTTTTTGTTTGTTACATATTTCCGCCAAAAAAAAAAATCTAAATCCAAAACATTGAAAGTTCTATAACCTCTTAATTTTTTGCGAGTTAGTAG